TGGTCCGGACATCCCCGAACCTCTGGTGCCTGTTCGGACGGTCCGGTGTCCGGTGGTGTTCGGAAAGCCGGACAGTCCAGAGCGGTCCAGACAATGGTCCGGGAAACAGTCCGGAAGGGTCCGGTGTTCGGGTCCGGGGTTACCATGGTAGTACATGCCATTTAAAAGTTGCCTTTTTTTTCTGGTAATCTGCCCCCGATTCTGCCCGTTACAAAAGTAGCCAAAAAAATGGGTACCTTTTTAGACAAACAAAAGAGCTTCAAGGCAGTGTTTCACATTGGGTCAAGGATAATGGGCACCGCTTCGCCATAGTCAGTGATAGGGAGGTTAGTTTAACAATGGTGCGGTTGCAACAACCCATGAAGGTATACAGATCACAATAGAGCATGTGCTCAGGTAGGCACCCATCAACGAATAGTCAAACAGAACAGATCATAGTCAGCAATAGGGATGTTATGTTCACCGGGGTGCAGTGGCAATGGATCACAATTGCCCGTGTCCTCAGGCAGGCACCCAGAAGCCAATGGTCAAACAGAACAGATAAATAAGTTGCTACAGCAAAGGGAAACGGTTTCACTCAGTTGACCCGACTTTGCGCACACAGAGATTCGATCCCCAGACCTGTGCCCTAATCCTGTACATTGAACATGTGTGCTGAGTGAGATTCGATCCCTAGACCTATCCTATACCTGTACATGGACCCAGTGACCTGAGTAGGATTCGATCCCTTGACCTGCCCTACGTCCTAGGCTAGTCTGTAGGTCGGACAGGAGGACTTGTCTGTAGGTCGGACAGTAGGACTTCATCCCTAGGTCTGTAGATTAGGAGTTAGGTCTGTTACCGTTAGGCTTAGGAAGGTCTGTTCTAGAAGTCTGTATTTGAGTCTACTGAGGCCTAGAGTCTGTCTGTAAGTCTGTAGGCTGTAGAAGGTCGTAGGTACCTGTAGGCCAGTCCAGTCAGCAAGTACCAGGGGTAGGGGCTGCACGTGGGGAAGGTTCTGGAGCACGCTGTGGGTTTCACACGTTTTGGCCCAGAAGGCCAAACGTCTGGAAACTTACCTGGGCCATACGTTTTGGCCCAAGCCCACATGTTTTGAGGAAGGCCCGGGTACCTCCAAAGAGGTATAAACAAAGAGGCAGCATCCAGCCATTCATTGATTCGCCTGTGTGCCATGCTGAAGAGCTGCCTTGGTATCTTGTGCGTGGAGGACTGCAGGTGCCCGGACAAGAAGTGGCTGTGAAGAAGACAGCGGCCATAGCTCGAGGGAGGCAGACGACGGTGGCCATAGCCACCCAGCTGTTGGTGTAGACGGAGTGTGTGTGGCTGTGTAGCGTGGACATTCAGGGTGATCCTCGTACGTGCGTGCATGCGAGAGTGAGGGAGAGCGAGGCTGGTGGTAGAGACAGTGTTCGGCGGCCATAGCCGCAAGTTGTACAGTTGGTTCAGACTGAGTTTAATACAAGTTGGAAGAGTTCGGTTTTGCCATCAGTTCTCAAGTGTGCATGTTGTGAGCAAGTCCAGGGTCGAATCTGATCGCATTGGTATCGGAGCTGGTACCCGTTGTCCACGTCGGCGGAGCTGCAGCATCGAGTTGGAAGAAGGAAGAAGCCGCCATTGTCGGAGCTCGGCAGAGAGAGAGAGAGAGAGAGAGAGAGAGAGAGAAGGGGGGACGGCAGCCATAGCTGCCAAGCTCAGGAAAGAAGACAATCATTGAGAAGAAAGAGAGACGCGGAGAGGAAGAAGAAAGTGACTAAGAGGGAGACGAAGTCTTTCATAGCCAAGGTGAAGAAGGTTTTGACGAAGGTCCACCATAGTCGGGAGGTTGGAAGGTTGACCAGGGCAGTTGACCAACGTTGATCGAGAGTTGACCAACGTGGGCCGCGAGTTGACTGACGTTGATCGGGTGTTGACCAATGGTTGACCAAGAACGTTGACCAGGCATTGACGGAAGTTGACCATGAAATTGACCAGGAGCGTTGACCGGCGAGTTGGACAAGATCGTTGACCGGAGCGTCGATCCAACTGGAACAAGAAGATTACCGGTACCATCTCTCCATGGCGTGACCTATCCCTTACCCCGTAGATGTGCACCTTCACCCTGGTACGTGATGACGTTAAGTCTGTCAAGGTCAGTCGGTCATATCTCCCTGTCAGTTTTGTCTAGGTCTATAGGACGATGTGATTGTGGTCATAGAACCGTATGTTTAGAGTAGTGAGTCAAGACCCCTCGATAGAAGGTAACCTGCTTGGTCTACGTGTTGAGGCGTGAAATTGCTGTTTCGCCTAAGGTAATTTCGTTGCCTTACTTTCTAGGTGACTAGAAATAGGAAACTCCACTGTATGCGGGAAACTCATCGAATAGATAGAATGAATTTAATTTCTAGATAGTAAGTAATAGTAATTAAATTCAATTAGAGGGCAATCCGTAGGAAACCAACATATGTCTGTGTAGGATCCTCAGAGACTTTACGTGGAGCTACTACTAATTAATAATGTAAAAGAAAGACCAATGACTTATGAGTATACGTACGATAGATACCTTTGTTTGTATGTAATTGTGCACCGTCACCATGGTGGACCTGAGGTATGGAACTAGTACCACCCCCTACAGCACAGAGCAAGAGGAGAGAGTTGCCGCTATCTTGCGAGCGAGGAAGGAGAGAATGGAGAAGAGGGAACTGATTAAGCAGGCCAAGATGCTGGCCCTGTTGGAGGAGCAAGAAGCGAAGAAGAAGCAGATGGAGGAGGAGTTGAAGAAATGGACGAAGGAACAGGAGGAGAAGATGGCGACTATACAAGTGGAGGTGGATAAAGAAGAAGAAGAAGAAAAGCAAGTGGAAGAAGAAGTACCGTTGGAAAGGAGAAGAGGTGGAGCCAGTATGAGTAAGGAGGCGGAGATTGAAAAGACAACACAAGAATGGACCGCACATTTGGAGTTGGGAAAAGATAGGGAGGGCGAGCTGGCCATGCCCCAAGCAGAAAGAGAAGCAGCAAGGAGAGAGTTAGAAATAGAGAGGGACCCGGTGAGGAGAAAGGTGAAAGAGGACGAACGGCAAAGGGCATGGCAGTGGCGTTTGTCCCAAGAAAGAGTTGGGCGTTTGGAGGCAGCGGAGCAAGCAGAAAAGGACTTGAAAGCGGCGGAGACTAGGATGGAGAAGATCGGTGAAGAGACTAAGATAGCCACTAAACTCGATGTCCTGACCCAGAGTGTGGAATCTTTACTAACTGCACATCGTGAGCAAAGTACGTCCAAAGCCTGGATGTAAAGATAGATGCGATACGTGTTGGGTTTAAAGATTTTGTGCGTGATATGATGAAGTACCTGGTGGACCAGGTCCACCTGGCGATTACTAAGACTTAGGAATTCTGTACCGGCGCCATTGAAGGCGTCAAGTTAGCGGCTCCTAAGGAAGAGGAGCCAGCCCTACCACATTGCGAGAAGGTCAAAGTCCGTTTCCCCGAACCCTTCAGTGGAAAGAAGGGAGAGGATTTCTATAACTGGAAGGCCAACATGCACTCCTATCTGTATTTACAGGGAGTCACGCTTGAGGACCACGTTTTGGTGTCCTTCGAGGCCCTTCGAGATGAGGCGACTAGCTTTGCTAGGTCGCTCGCGCGCGCTGCAAATTGCAGAAATGATATGGTCACCTATTCTAGACTGACACCCCTCTCTTGCTAGGGAGCGATTCACAGATGTGACGCGGGGGCTCAAAGCCTCCGACAAGCTCCAAACGAGACACACTCGCTAGTGGAAGAGTGTGCATGCGCTCAAGTCCGCTATGGACGAATTGATTGCGGTCCCCGGACATGGAGTAATTGATCCCCAGTTACTTAACCTCTTCGCGGTCCGCGGACATGGAGTAATTGATGCCCAGTCACTTACCCTCTTCTATCGTGCCCTGCCTGAAAATATTCAGGGACGCTTCTTCGGGAAGAAGAATCAGCAGGGCATGACCTATGACACTCGCAGTCGGGAGGCAGTTGCATTTGCCGCCCAAGCATCGCCAATTACCACGTTCTGGCACAGGGATATGTCAAAGGGAAAAACGTGGAAGGGACGCACCATCTCCGGCCAAATTAAGGCCAAAGATATTTTGATTCTGACGATGGAGGAAGGTGGTGCAGACGAGGTTCCCTACTCTGATATCGAGTGGGAACTGGAGGAGCAGGACAGTAGCGCTGGTCAGGGGGGAACCTATGCTGCTGTCGCGGCCGGAGTGAGGCCGCAAGGAGGAGGACAAAGGTTTGGCCAGAATGGTCGGGCTGCGGGTGGCAGAGGACAGGGCGGCGAGGGGGTTGGCGACAATGGCAACCGCCACCGGGAGGAAGGGGAGGTCCCTTGTCTAACCATCCTAGTTTTTGTCGGTCACCCCCCAGGCAGGGATGGTGGCACCCAGGCCGGCCCAAGGGCCTACCCTGGGAAGACCTGGGTATTGACAAGAATATATGGCAAAAACACATTAACAATTCTCAGTGCGTATTCTGCGGGGTCCCAGGCCACATCATAGAATTATGTCCCAAGTATAGGGACCGTGCTGTGTTTTGGGCAGCAAAAGACAACCACCGATAGGTTTTGCAACTGCCCCTACCCCAAGAGTATGTGGATCTGAGCGTGCGCGAGAAGTAGAGTCTGCCATTCCACATATCTCCATGGCAGAGGTTGCAGGCCGGCGTCTAGTTAGCTGTCCAGAGACCGCTTGTGTTAGGGTCTCTCTAGATGTTTCCCTCAGAGGCTTAGCTGAAGAGTTGAGAGAGAGGAGGCAAGCTTGGGCCAAGATGAAGAAGGATAGTAAAGGATAACTGATCCTCGCAGATGTAGAGATTTTTAGAGCTAGAGTAGGAGCCCTGATATGACAAGAACACATTAACAGTTCTCAGTGCGTATTCTGCGGGGACCCAGGCCACATCATAGAATTATGCCCTAAGTATAGGGACCGTGCTGGGTCTTGGGCAGCAAAAGGCAGCCATCCGTAGGGGTTGCAATTGCCCCTACCCCAGGAGTATGTGGATCTGAGCGTGCGCGCGAAGTAGAGTCTCCCACTCCACATATCTCCTTGGCCGAGGTTGCAGGCCGACGTCTAGTTAGCTGTCCAGAGACTGCTTGTGTTAGGGTCTCTCTAGACGTCTCCCTCACAGGCTTAGCTGAAGAGTTGAGCGAGAGGAGGCAAGCTTAGGCCAAGATGAAGAAGGATAGTAAAGGACAACTGATCCTCGCAAACGTAGAGATTTTTAGACCTAGAGTAGGAGCCCTGATAGACAGTGGGGCTACTAGGAGTTATATCAGTTGTAAATCGCTGAAGAAGTTGAAGCTAAATCTAAATGTCCAGCGATTAGAGGAACCTGCAGTCAGCATCGTCGCAGACAATAGCAGGATGCGTGTTGAAGAGCATGTTGAGGGGGTCCACGCCTACTTTCGCCTCGAGAAAAAGAGAGGAGGTTATAACCATCCCAAGGTCGACCCCCCAACTTTCACCATCATTTATAAGAAAACCGAAGGTCCATTTTAACCATACTTTACACCAATCTGTAGAGTGCACTTCTTACTAACATATTGTAAAAAAAGAAACCAAAAAAAAAAAAAAAAAACATATAAAACAGCAAGCCAAAAGTGCACTTTCAACAGGATTAGATAGATCCGGCCGGGCTCTAACAAAACACGGTGAAAGGTGTCCCCTCTAATCGTAAGATTACAAATGAAGTAAAAAACAAACAAATAAAAGTGATAAAAGTCAGACTAAGTTCACAAATTTTGACAAAAAGAATTCTAAATAAAACAGTAGTAGCTAAAAAAGCACCACAAATTCTATGAAAAATAGAGAAAGTTGAAGTTAATTGTGGCTACTAACGAAGTCTCGGTTGATGTGCTTTCCTTTAGCTACTTAGATGTTTCAGTTCGCTAAGTCAACTTCGCTGCGGTTTCCCGATAGGAAATCCATGGATCAAAGAGAGCTTCTCCCCACCACCAGGGGAAATGTCAAGTGGTTCAAGGCAGAATAGTTTAGTAGGTTAGAACAGCGGAATCATAATTCGCATGTCGGGGGTTCGAATCCCTCTTCCGCCAGTCGTCTATCTATGCTTTCTTCAAGCTTATATATACTATACGATACGCTTGAATTCTCCAATTATTGAATTGAATTGAATTGAATGGAATTGAATTGATTGAAAGGTTTCCAAATTCATTGGTCAATCAGCAGGCGCGCAGAACGGTTTTAGGCTGATCCCCTTACGGGTCCGCACAGGACAATTCTTACTACGGGATCTCTGAATTCTCCTTGGTATGGTACCACCGTGGAGTTATTTCCCCAGTTCCCACGAGGCGTATAATGCATTGCTAAAAAAATGCCTGTAATTATCTGGATTACCAAACAAATACCAGCAACAGACCTTGACCAAAAACAAAACAAGCCAAAAAACAAACAAACAAACAAACAAAAAACCATGATCCCCACTACACTTTTCATGTTGGTGAAGGTTACCCTAGGGGTGAAAAGTGAGGGTACCTGTTAACCATTTGTGGAGAAAAATGGAAAGGTAGAGAAAGTACTGCACTCCTTGACTCTCCTCGTAGAAGAGAGTCTCCCGTTTGACATTATCCTAGACACAGATTGGGGAAAGGCAGCAAGAGCCACACTTCACCTTAGAGAACACGAGTGTAGGCTCCCTAGCGCGTCAGGCGAAGTCAAGCAAGTCCGCCTGTTCCATGAGTCCGGGGTAGATAATCCCCTCACCCGTTGCTGCCTCAGCGCTCCTGCGTTCGCCAGACTTGTGCGAAAGGAGCAGCTCGAAGAGCAGGTGTTCGTAGCCTATGTAAGACCGATTTCTGTCGAGCCAAGGGAAGAAGAAAAGACCCATCCTACTATTGCCAGTTTGCTGGAAGAGTACAAAGACCTATTTGAAGCACCTTCATGAGTAGTGCCCAGACCGATCCAGCATCGCATAGAGATAGAACCTGGCAGCAGAACGCCTAAGCGGGCATTCTATAGGATGTCTCCTAAGGAGTTAGAGGAGCTTCGCAGACAGTTAGATGAGCTCCTAGAGAAAGGATGGATCAGGCCTAGCTCGTCACCATTTGGCGCACTTGTTCTGTTTGTCCCAAAGGAGGAGGAAGAGTTACGCATGTGTATAGACTATAGGGGACTGAACGCCATCACAATCAAGAATGCAGATCCATTACCGCGTATAGATGACTTGTTAGATCGAGTGTAGGGATGCAGGTACTTCTCAAAGATAGATCTGAAATCGGGGTACCATCAGATGGAAGTGCATCCGGACGATCAGTACAAGACGGCGTTCAGGACAAGGTATGGGCATTACGAGTCCATAGTGATGCCGTTTGGACTTACTAATGCACCGAGAACATTCTAGCGTTGTATGAACGACTTGTTTAGACCATGGTTAGATAGATTCGTCGTAGTTTATTTAGACAACATCTTAGTGTTCAGCAAGACCTTCGAGGAACATGAGGGCCATCTACGACAGATTCTAAGCTAGCTGAGAGAGTCTAACTTCAAGAGTCTAACGTGGTAGCCGATGCTCCGAGTAGGAGAGCTGATTACTTCGGCGCGATAGTACACTATCTAGACATCGGCGCCGATCTGCGACAGAAAGTAAGAGACGCCTGTGCATAGGACCTGATCTACAGTGAGCTGCTGAAGAGAGTAAAAGAAGCCCCAGATAGTGAGCCGCACTACCGAACCACGAACGGGCTACTGTTTGAGAAGGCCAATGTCGCTGACAGATTGTGCCTCCAACAGTGAAGAGATCCATAGTCTGATCTTAGGGGAATGCCATACAGAAGGACACTTCGGATGACAGAAGACCTTAGCTGACCTGATGATGTCATATACGTGGCCAGGAATGAAAGCAGACTGCATAGAGTATGTGCGCAGATGCAAGGTATGCCAGGGCAACAAAACTACAACAAGAGCCCCTCTAGGTGTGCTTAGACCCTTGCCTATTCCATCAGGACCCGAAGATTCAGTTTCCATCGACTTCATGGATATCGGAGTCAAAAGGAGGCACGACAAAACTCAAGGAATGGTCATAGTAGATCGATTTAGGAAGTATGCAACATTTGTTCCCCTGTCTTCAGAGGCACGTATAGACTTAGTCATTAGTAAGTTTTTTTACTTCTGGGCAAGCGAGCATGGCATGTCGCTGTCCATAGTAAGTGATAGGGACATGCGGTTTACTAGTCAGAATTGGCAGGATCTTATGAAAGTCTATGGGTCTAAGTTGTTGATGTCGTCAGGTTGACACCTAGAGACTAACGGCGAGACAGAACGAATGAATAAGATCTTGCAACAGCTACTCAGAATGTATATTAGACCAGATCAGGTAAACTGGAATCAGATGCTTCCCAAAGTAGCAAGCGTCGACAGTAATCGTGTCCACCTAGCTATGCAATCAGACTCGCTTTCATTCACACTTTACATGCATGCAAACAGCAGTGCAGCAAATTGGTGACATGCGCCCACTCAAAACTCAGAGATACGGTAACCTCGATACGAGTTTGCTTTCAATGGCTATGGCGACTCAGCGCCAAACAACTATTTGTTCGCATACACCGGATCACCCTGGATATCCCACACACGAATCTCTGTGAACACACACACACACACACATATGGCGGCTGTGTCCGCCTCTACCCTATCGCTATGCACGCTCCGTCTCTCTCGCCCACTTCAGCTCCAGGGTCACTGCAGACCTCCTTGCGCAAGTTGGTGTGGCAGCGCTTCCGCATGGCTCACGCAGGAATGAATGAATGGCTGGGCGCTGCCTCTTGATTTATACTTTTGAAGCTCGTTGGTCTGCCCCCTTTCCATTGGCCCATGGTGCACACAGCCCCTCATGGTACTTCGTGGACCGGACTGGGAATGACTGGACCGCACTGTTGACCACATGGGGACGCACTGCTATCCTACCGCTATCGTACTGCGAACGCATTGCAGTTGGTCCACCACTTGCCCGCTTACTCGACCTTCTAGAAGGACTACAGCTAAGACTTATGGAACTCGCTAAGACTTCTGTTCGACAGACCTACAGATCGAACCCTAGCTACCTATGGACCCTACGACAGCCTATCAACTGTTACAAATACACATGTTGTGGGTTCAACTCTACGGATCGACACATGTACTGTACACAGGTAAGTTGGGACTAGGGATCGAGCCCTGAATTCTGCGTCCGTTACTGCAAAAGGTGAAAACCGTTTCAGCTACTTGTTGGACTCCTAATGAGTTACATAAGTCCTTTAGACCTAGGCAACCGTTTGAGTGACTAAACCGGGAACAGATACAGAGACTACCACTCGACACACAAGAATTTGCGTCGTTTAGGTCATAGACAATCTGAGAAAAGCCCAGCATCGGATGATAGAGCAAGCTAACAAGCACCGCCGACCTTCACAGTTTCAAGTAGGGGATCTAGTCTGGGTCATGTCAAAGGAGTTCGCACCAGAGGAAAACATCTCGCAGAAGCTCCTACCTGCGTATAGAGGACCGTGGCCTGTCCTAGAAGTCAAGGGAGGAGAGGACGACCCGTCTTACACAATAGAAATCCCAGCACGCCTCCACAAGTTGCTACCTTGCACCTTGCACCATGTTCGATAGATTTCCTTCCCGAAGGTCAATGATTCCGCGAGATATGGACGGTGCATATGACATAGATCACATAGTGGAAGATGACGTGTTTAGGACAGGAGGTCAAGGTCGTCCCCAGAAACTGTATAAGGTTAGGTTCGCATACCGGGAACCCGAGGACGGCCGATGGTTTACAAGAACAAAGCTTCTAGAAACCGCTCCCTACATAGTGCACGCCTATGAGAGGGAAAGAAAGGGCAAAGGTCCTACCTTGAGTTAGAGTGTTTTCAGAGGACCTCGAATTTAGGACGGCGGGAGAGAAACGGTTTCACTCAGTTGACCTGACTTTGCACACATAGAGATCCGATCCCCAGACCTGTGCCCTAAGTCTGTACATTGAACTTGTGTGCTGAGTGAGATTCGATCCCTAGACCTATCCTATACCTGTACATAGACCCAGTGACCTGAGTGAGATTCGATCCCAAGACCTGCCCTTCGTCCTATGCTAGTCTGTAGGTCGGACAGTAGGACTTGATCCCTAGGTCTGTAGATTAGGAGTTAGGTATGTTACCGTTAGGCTTAGGAAGGTTTGTTCTAGAAGTCTGTATTTGAGTCTACTAAGGCCTAGAGTCTGTCTGTAAGTCTGTAGGCTGTAGAAGGTCGTAGGTCCCTGTAGGCCAATCCAGTCAGCAAGTACCAGGGGTAGGGGCTGCACGTGGGGAAGGTTCTGGAGCACGCTGTGGGTTTCACGCGTTTTGGCCCAGAAGGCCAAACGTTTGGAAACTTACCTGGGCCACATGTTTTGGCCCAGGCCCACACGTTTTGAGGCAGGCTCGTATACCTCCAAAGAGGTATAAACAGAGAGGCAGCGTCCAGCCATTCATTCATTCGCCTATGTGCCATGCGGAAGAGCTGCCTTGGTATCTTGTGCGTGGAGGACTGCTGGTGCCCGGAGAAGAAGTGGGCTGTGAAGAAGACAACGGCCATAGCGAACCAGCGAGGGAGACACCGGCGGCCATAGCTCAGAGGAGGAAGACGACGGTGGCCATAGCCACCCAATTGTTGGTGTAGATGGAGTATACAGAGTGTGTGCGGCTGTGTAGAGTGGACATTCAGGGTGATCCTCGTACGTGCGTGCACCCGAGAGTGAGGGAGAGCGGGGCTGGTGGTAGAGACAGTGTTCGGCGGCCATAGCCGCAAGTTGTACAGTTGGTTCAGACTGAGTTTAATACAAGTTCATTGTTGTTTCTGAGTTGGAAGAGTTCGGTTTTGCCATCAGTTCTCAAGTGTGCATGTTGTGAGCAAGTCCAGGGTTGAGTCTGATCGCAAAACCTTCCGTATGTATATTATTCCAGGCCAGATGGATTGGGATGAGCACCTGCTCAAAGTAGCCACGTGCGTATAGTAACCTCGCGCATCAGTTACCAATAGGACACCCAACGAGTTGCCTGTTTGAATCCCGATCAGATGCAAAGACTACTACTCGGCACTCACGAATTCACACTGAAGTAGGAAAATGAGACATGTCCAGTTTAAAATGGTAGAACAAGCGAATAAGCATCACAGAGCCTCCCGATTTGCAGTCGGTGATCTAGTGTGGACGAGGTCCAACTAATTTGTACTTGAAGAAGGGATTTTTGAGAAACTTCTATCAGTGTACAGAGGACCAAGTGGACTTCTAGATGTCATAGGAGACCCTCTTGTTTTTTCTTTTTTTTCCCCTTCTTGTCGTTTAATTTGGACCATTTCTCGATTTATTGGAGATGCTGATGGTCAGTCCTATATAGTACTTGTCCCTCCACATCTTCGAACTTATCTAAATACAGTCTCTCTCTCTCTCATAGCTGGATAAGAAGAAGTCAGAGCGCTGGAAGGGAAAGAAGAAGGTGGTGGACTGGAGGAGGAGGAGGAAGAAGAAGATCTCTCTCTCTCCCTCTCTATACCAGGTACTGACCTGCAAAAGGTGGCGCCTTGATGAAGGTACAGATGTGACGTCGCATGTAAGTCTCAGGTAAGTCCCCTGGCCTTTGCCACAGTCTCTCTTCTCTCCCTGCGCTACTCTCAGCGCTGGAAGACTACCGTTACACTGCCGTCATCCGAAGAGAACCTCTACTCCATCTTCTACTCAATGCCGAACTGAGGCTGGACACAACTTTATATAGCGCTGGGTCGGCCTCAACGGCTGAGTCTGGCGCTCAAACTGAGGTTGGGCCTCGAAAGTTTGGCGCCCAAACTAAGGCTGAGCCTCAGTCGGCCCAGCGCCTACTGAAAAGGCGCGGCCTTTGAATCAGGGTCTGGCGCCAAAACACGCGCCAGGGGATGTAACGGAAACGAGGCCTACAGGGCCTCTAACTGCTACCGGTCCTACTCAGGCCTAAACTGGCCTACCGACCCTATGGGCCCCTACTGTGGGTCGAAACGACACAGACCCTACACTCTACAGACCCCTAGCCTACCTGGTCGGGCCTTGCTGGGCCCGTGTCGAACTGAGTATGCCTCAGTTGTGGTCAAGTGCTCATTTCTATTGCCCTTTTTGTTTGTGTTTCAAGCTATGAGTGGGCCAGAGATTGCAGAAAATGCTTTACATACAATGTGGGCTGCCTCCTGTATGTTACCATGTTGTTGTGTTGCTAGATCTCCTCTCTACTACACTCTGCTGTGGTTGCGAACTTTGCTTACTCAAAGTCCTTTCCAGCGACGCATGTTTTGCAGGCTTAGGA